GGGTGTAACACTGATAGGGTGTGTAACACTGATAGGGTGTGTAACACTGACACTGATAGGGTGTAACACTGATAGGGTGTGTAACAAACATGGACACACTAAGGACCTGGAAACTGACATACATGTGTAAGAGGTTTTAAAGACGATTATACCATGTCAGAAGTCATCTAGAGTTATTTTTTAAACTTTTTAAAAATTCAATTAAGTGTTACAATCAAATAAAATCAATCTATTATCTTTCCTACTGGCCATATTAAATACATCTGCAAAATACCTACTGCATCTACCAGGTTGAGAAGCGGGTCAGAGTATGTTAACCAGCGGAGAACAACATTACTACGAGTTAATCTGGGCAGATCCTGGTTGTTGTGAAATAGTAGTGATCAAGTCTATATTCTTGATAAATTCTCCAATAACAATTTGATTGTATTAAAATTGATCCCATTTCCATAAACAAAGCACTTTTATGATCGACACCCCTGCTCCTGACCTTTGGTAGGAGTATACACTAGATGGCACAGTAATAGGATTATGTCCAGATTCACATACAACCAAACACACAAATTGTACCACTCATGCCATCAAAAAACACATGATTAATGCCTCATCTGTCACATCTTCATTATATATACTTTAAGAAATACAACCTCCTATGAAAAAAATCATCTTTAAGACATACAATTTATTGGAAAAATATTTATGAATTATCGACAACTCAAAAATACTTTCCATTTCAATAAAACAAACCCTTACCCTATTCACGAAATGATAAATCCTAGTCCAGATAACAACAATTCATGTACAGTGTACAGATGATCACGGGCATCACACAGTGTACAAGACATCTTCTAAGAAGTTAGGTACATATTTGTTCTGAGGCTTACTAAAGGATAAACACTTCATTATATATAATTTGAAAGTTTCTCTGTACAATTTGCACTCTTCCAAATATTTCACTGATATTTCTCGAGCATAAAGACCATCCTGTTTGCAATATATTGATTTATGTATAAAATCTTTATGTATTTCCAGCATAAAATTTATTCTTTTTTAAATGTATCTACATTTATCTACTGTGAAAAGGGAGATAATTATATGGAAAAGGTAATTGCACAACAGCCACTCCACACAAACAAATTAAACCCATATTTCTGTGAACCACAGACACGTTTTCTAAACAGCTAGCCTTATTTCTGTGAACCACAGACACCATATTAAACAGCTAGCCGTATTTCTGTGAACCACAGACACCTTTTTAAACAGCTAGCCTTATTTCTGTGAACCACAGATTTTTTTTTAAACAGCTAGCCTTATTTCTGTGAACCACAGACACCTTTTTNTAGTTAGCGCATTCACCTTCACAAATTCCGCCGGGGTGCCATTCCCCAGCCAGTAAGAGGTTCTGGTTACATTTTATTTATTTCGGCGCAACTTAAAAGAATAGATATCTATATGATGTAGGTGTGGGTAGAGAGAGAAAGATTTAACGACCGACAGCGACTTAAAACTACCTACTTTCACCCTTCACATGGCTTGTTAGGTTCCTTACAGCTGAAGAGCACTGTGAAGAGACATGGTTTCTTCTGTCCGACAACATTTTCTACCGGTAGTGCCAGGGGCGTAGCTGGGATATAAATCTTGTGTAGACACTTGAACAATATAGGCTGATCTAGTTTAGTTTAACGACAACAGTTTTAAAGTTAAAATAAAAGCCATTGATAAGTATACCAGGAGGGTTTAAAAATAAATATTCAATTTCTAACAAGAGGCCCATTGGGCCTGCATCGCTCACCTGGTATAAATCTCAAATTTGTAACCTTAAAAGTGATCTAGAATACAGATACAGGCAAAATATCAGTATTTATGATTAAAATTTATTAAAAATAACCTGTTTAAAGTTTTTAAAACATTCACCCCTGTGATTGAAAGTCGAACAAGGTCATTATGTTGAACACGTTTTATAGCCTTTCATCTCAGGATGCAACTTACAAAATATCAGCATTCTGGGACCCATGGTTATTCAGAAGAGGTCGTTTAAAGATTTTAAACAAATATGACCCCTGTGACCTTGAATATAAGTCAAAGTCATTCACTTTCACAAACATGGTAGCCCTTGATCCAAGCATGCTACTGACTACATACATGTATCGACATTCTGGGCTTTTTGGTTATTTAGAAGAATTCGTTTAAAGATTTTGAACATATTTGATCCCTGTGACTAAGTGAATAAATTTCAATGTCATTCATTTGAACAAACTTGGTAACCCTACATCCCATCATGTTACAGGCCAAATATCATCATCCTGGGCATTTTGGTTATTCAGAAGAAGTCGTTTAAAGGTTTTGTTTAATAATTGACCCCTGTGGCCTTGAATATAAATGAAGGTCATTTATTTGAACATACTTGGTAGCCCTTCATCTCAGCCTGCTACTGCCTAAATATCATCATCCTGGGCATTTTGGTTATTGAGAAGAAGTTGTTTATAGTTTTTAACATATTTGACCCCTGTGACCTTGAATATTGGTGAAGGTCATTCATTTGAACAAACTTTGTAGCCCTTCATCTCCGCATGCTACTGGCCAAATATCATCACCCTGGGCATTTTGGTTATTGAGTAGAAGTTGTTTAAAGTTTTTAACATATATGACCCCTGTGACCTTGAATATGAGTGAGGGTCATTCATTTAAACAAACTTTGTAGCCCTTCATCTCAGCATACTTCTGGCCAAATATCATCTCCTTGGGCATTTTAGTTATTCAGAAGAAGTTGTTTAAAGTTTTTAACATATTTGACCCCTGTGACCTTGAAAATGGGTAAATGTCATTTATTTTAACAAACTTTGTAGCCCTTCATCCCAGTTTGCTTCTAGCCAAATAGCATCACCCTATTTGTGTAAAGCAAAATCTTGACGCCGGACGACGGACGGACGACGGACGCCGCGCCACGGCATAAGCTCACGTGGCCCTTCGGGCCAGGTGAGCTTAAAATGAATGAGAGGTAATGATTCAAATGAGAGAATTTTAGCAGGAGTTTTCAACTAGTTCCCACTGACAATATTTTATCAAACATTTCAAAGTAGAATAAACTGAACAAAATTTAACTTCCTATTAGAGGGAGTATGGTTCATAAAAATAGAAGAGAATACGTAAGTGTTAACGAGAGAGCCAGGTGTTCCGGAAGGGTAATCCAAGTTATGCTACGCCCTGATAGTGAGAACTTGGGGTGTGACAACAAAACGGCACTAATGAGCATAATCAAAAACATCGACCTTCATATCACACCGAGAGATCGCTTTTTTCCCTGTCATATCATGATGGTGACCACAAAACAGTCTTCATTAACCTGTATCTTTTGAAACCCTGTGTTGTAAGTTTGTCCGTCAGCAGCCGACATCTATGATATAATGATGAAGTCATGAAGTTATACTATTTGGAGCAAGTTCTTGAATACCGATCGCATCAACTTCAACATTGAGATGCAGGGCATGTACTGTCAAGAAAGGGAACGTTAATTACCGGGAAATCGAAATTTGATAACGTTTTAAGTAAAGATCGAGGAAAGTGGTTGAGGTAGAAGAGTCAGTAATGTTCTTAACTTCAAGCTCGGGAGGGTATATCAGATCAACGCGGTCAATAGATATATCTTATTATGTAAAGACAGCACTTCGTCAATATATCTGAATGTAAAATTGAATGATTTGGCTGTTTTTTTTTCATGATCGCTCATAAATACATTTAGCCTGGTAATATCGCTGTCCGCCCTTCTTTTTGAAAAGAAAGCTCATAATAAGAGAACGAAGGCGCTCCTTCTGTTTGATATGATGAATGGTAGTGTAAAGGGCCGAAAAGTAAAAAGTTTTTATAAATAGAACGTTTTAGGGGTTTTGATCAACTTTCGGTCAAAATGCCACCCTCAGTGGTCGTATTTATATGTCAAACTAAACTTGTATGTTATTCCTCGAGTACCAAAATTTAAAATGTAATGATAATTTAGATTAATTATAGCTTTGAAATATACGACTCATATTACTGCAGCTACATGAGCCCAGACATATTAGGCGACACGGATGTTGAACACAATCAATCCTAGTCACGACATTGATACTCCCCGGCGCGCCCGAGTATTAACACCGCAATCTTATACACCACTCACATTGCAGCAAATGTTTCAATAAAAATAGATTTTCCGGTAATGTATGAAAAGGGATATTAGCGGTGGACTATGAATACAAACACGGCGACAGGTGCAGAATAAACTCACGAGATTACGGTGTACATGTACCATTAATTGTCAACATCAACACAACGGAAAGCGGACGCCGATGAGGTATACGATATCGTCTACTCCAGTTTCCCGTTAATACAATAAAGATGACATTGTCTAAATATATCAAATTTTAAATCGTTAAGGCATAACAAACATTGTTAATCAAATCAGAAGTTATTCAGGTGTCAGTCTTAATCAAACAGGGCTTAGTATTAAAGACTTTAGATACAACTATATATGTGGGTCTTCTTTAATTCCGTGATGTTCTTAACAATCCTGTTCAAAATTTCCAACAAAGTTTGGTATCAAAAATAAGTTCTTTTAAGTTAATAAGTTATTTTAAAGACGAAAACACAGTACTATATAGTGGGATATTTTACCTGATTTCAATATAAGAAATAGTAACTTCTTGCAAGCCAAGTGAAACAGAATTTCATTAAACAAGAATACCACTGAAGTGACAAGAGAACATTAGGACAAAACAGCATATATTAAACATTATAATGGTTTGTCAGATTGACATTGCCGTGCAAGAGACACATACAAAATTTGAAGGCAGTAATAAAGGAGATATATGTTACGGATTANTCCTGTTTGCTGAGTTCTACAGATTTCCCTCTCCTCGTAACATATGTCAAACAAAACTTGTATGTTATTCCTCGAGTACCAAAAGTTAAAATGTAATGATAATTTAGATTAATTATAGCTTTGAAATATACGACTCGTATTACTGCAGCTACATGAGCCCAGACATATTAGGCGACACGGATGTTGAACACAATCAATCCTAGTCACGACATTGATACTCCCCGGCGCGCCCGAGTATTAACACCGCAATCTTATACACCACTCACATTGCAGCAAATGTTTCAATAAAATAGATTTTCCGGTAATGCATGACAAGGGAAACACGGCGACAGGTGCAGAATAAACTCACGAGATTACGGTGTACACAACGAAAAGCGGACGCCGATACCGGACATGTGAAGGCTAGGCGAGGTATACGATATCGTCTACTCCAGTTTCCCGTTAATACAATAAAGATGACATTGTTTAAATATTTCAAATTTTAAATCGTTAAGGCATAACAAACATTGTTAATCAAATCAGAAGTTATTCAGATGTTAGTCTTAATCAAACAGGGCTTAGTATTATAGACTTTAGATACAACTATATATGTGGGTCTTCTTTAATTCCGTGATGTTCTTAACAATCCTGTTCAAAATTTCCAACAAAGTTTGGTATCAAAAATAAGTTCTTTTAAGTTAATAAGTTATTTTAAAGACGAAAACACAGTACTATATAGTGGGATATTTTACCTGATTTCAATATAAGAAATAGTAACTTCTTGCAAGCCAAGTGAAACAGAATTTCATTAAACAAGAATACCACTGAAGTGACAAGAGAACATTAGGACAAAACAGCATATATTAAACATTATAATGGTTTGTCAGATTGACATTGCCGTGCAAGAGACACATACAAAATTTGAAGGCAGTAATAAAGGAGATATATGTTACGGATTAATACCAGGTGAGCGACGCAGGCCTATTTGGCCTCTTGTTAATCATTACACGTTACGTACAAACGGCTGATATACCTGATACGTTGAGAAGGGTACTAGAATAGAATATAGTTCAAAATAACGTTCAGTATATCTCGTAGTTGTATTAGTCTGCGACAGGCACCACTGGCGGGGACTAAGTTGCACATTATACCCGGTATAGTCGAAACTACGAGAGATCCAGTTTAAAGATTTCAACATATTTGATCCCTGTGACCTTGAATATGATTCAAGGTTATTCATTTGAACACACTTGTTGGCCCTTCACTTCCGTATTTCATCACTCTAGGCCCTTTTAGCTCACCTGGCACGAAGTGCCAATGGAGCTTATAATTATGGTATGGTGTTTCATCAATCCTCTGTCAACTTTTTCTTTGAAGGACTTCTTCTTAAGAACTTGAGGGCCATGCTATTTGGTTAGTAGGTACCTTGGACTGAGTGCTATACATTTTCAACAAAAAATGACCTTGACATACTCTCAAGGTCACAGGAGTCAAATATGTAAACATCTTCCTCAACTTCTTCTGAATTACCAGGAGGCCAAAAATCATGATACTTGATTAGTTTGAAGTTTCATTTAGTCTGGAACATTCTTAACCCAATAAATGGAAGTATTTGCAAAGATAATTTTATTGAGAACATTTTCAAACATCCAGATGAGCGATACAGGCCCTTTGGGACTCTTGATTGTTTAAAGGTTTTTAAGATATTTGACCCCTGTGACCTCGAATATAAGTCCAGCAAAGACAGCAAAATGAACCCAGGGGCAAGATCTTTCTGTCCTACTCCTAAAGTGGGAGTCGTTTGCATTTCATAGATTCATAGATAATACCACTTGTAATGATGTGGGAGAAAAAAAAATCATTTCCCACTTAAGGATTATAGGACAAAAACCTGGAGGCAAGATTCTTAAATGTCTAGCACTTGGCAAAGCCCCCGGCTAGACATTCAAAAATCTTACCCCTTGGGTTGAGATATTTCTGTCTTACCTCCAAGGTGGGAAAAGAGTATATTGTTTTTGCCAGCATTGTGGATATCTCTGTGTTATTAGAAAAGGATATCACATACCGGGAAAAGTGTGGATACACCTGTGCAGTGTAAGAGAAAAAAATCCCAACAGGAAATTCAGATTCATAACCATGTTTATTATGATTCCAACACATCAATCTGCTTTAAGAATTATGTACAATTTTACAGGTATTGTAACAACTTTGAAGATGGGGAGGATCACAATTGAGAGTATGTATTCCATACATACAAATACATCACAGCATTGATATCCAGTACAACAGAATATCACAAAGTTACCTACAAAATATAGACAGAGTACAAATCTGTAGTATCACTAGTTAATAACTACACATGGAAACATGGGGGAAGAGAGAATTCAATGAATTTATAAACTTTTGTCTAGATATTAATTTATAAATATCAAAGAAACAATCACACAATTGACATTTTGTTAAAACTCTCTGTTGTTGGGCCCTCAGAGCCCAGTGAGTCATGGTTACAGAGGAGTAATTAACACTGATAGGGTGTGTAACACTGATAGGGTGTGTAACACTGATAAGGTGTGTAACACTGATAGGGTGTGTAACACTAATAGGGTGTAACACAGATAGGGTGTGTAACACTGATAGGTTGTGTAACACTGACACTGATAGGGTGTAACACTTATAGGGTGTGTAACACTGATAGGGTGTGTAACACTGATAGGGTGTTGATAGGGTGTGTAACACGGATAGGGTGTGTAACACTGATAGGGTGTGTAACACTAAAAGGGTGTAACACTGATAGGGTGTGTAACACTGATAGGTTGTATAACACTGACACTGATAGGGTGTAACACTTATAGGGAGTGTAACACTAAAAGGAGGTAACACTGATAGGGTGGGTAATACTGACACTGATAGGGTGTTACACACCCTATCAGAGTTACACACCCTATCAACGCCCTATCAGTGTTACACTGATAGGGTGTGTAACCCTGATAGGTTGTGTAACACTGATAGGTTGTATAACACTGACACTGATAGGGTGTAACACTTGTAGGGTGTGTAACACTGATAGGGAGTTGATATGGTGTGGATAGGTTATAGGGCGCTGATAGGGTGTGTAACCCTGATAGGGTGTTGATAGGGTATGTAACACTGATAGGGTGTGTAACAAACATGGACACACTAAGGACCTGGAAACTGACATACATGTGTAAGAGGCTTTAAAGACGATTATACCTTGTCAGAAGTTTAAACTTTAAAAAAAAATCAATTAAGTGTTACAATCAAATAAAATCAATCTATTATCTTTCCTACTGGCCATATTAAATACATCTGCAAAATACCCACTACATCTACCAGGTTGAGAAGCGGGTCAGAGTATGTTAACCAGCGGAGAACAACATTACTACGAGTTAATCTGGGCAGATCCTGGTTGTTGTGAAATAGTAGTGATCAAGTCTATATTCTTGATAAATTCTCCAATAACAATTTGATTGTATTAAAATTGATCCCATTTCCATAAACAAAGCACTTTTATGATCGACACCCCTGCTCCTGACCTTTGGTAGGAGTATACACTAGATGGCACAGTAATAGGATTATGTCCAGATTCACATACAACCAAACACACAAATTGTACCACTCATGCCATCAAAAAACACATGATTAATGCCTCATCTGTCACATCTTCATTATATATACTTTAAGAAATACAACCTCCTATGAAAAAAATCATCTTTAAGACATACAATTTATTGGAAAAATATTTATGAATTATCGACAACTCAAAAATACTTTCCATTTCAATAAAACAAACCCTTACCCTATTCACGAAATGATAAATCCTAGTCCAGATAACAACAATTCATGTACAGTGTACAGATGATCACGGGCATCACACAGTGTACAAGACATCTTCTAAGAAGTAAGGTCCATATTTGTTCTGGGGCTTACTAAAGGTTAACACTTCATTATATAAAATTTGAAAGTTTCTCTGTAAAAATGCACTCTTCCAAATATTTCACTGATATTTCTCGAGCATAAAGACCATCCTGTTTGTAATGTATTGATTTATGTATAAAATCTTTATGTATTTCCAGCATAAAATTTATTCTTTTTAAAATGTATCTACATTTATCTACTGTGAAAAGGGAGATAATTATATGGAAAAGGTAATTGCACAACAGCCACTCCACACAAACAAATTAAACACATATTTCTGTGAACCACAGACACGTTTTTTTTTTAAACAGCTAGCCTTATTTCTGTGAACCACATACACCATTTTAAACAGCTAGCCGTATTTCTGTGAACCACAGACACCATTTTAAACAGCTAGCCGTATTTCTGTGAACCACAGACACCATTTTAAACAGCTAGCCTTATTTCTGTGAACCACAGACACCATTTTAAACAGCTAGCCTTATTTCTGTGAACCACAGACACCATTTTAAACAGCTAGCCGTATTTCTGTGAACCACAGACACCATTTTAAACAGCTAGCC